GGGATGGGGATGGGGAGGGGACGAGGGGAGGGGGGAGGGGAAGAGGGGAGGGGGAGCAAAAAGTGTTGTAATCTTTAGAGTCATCACTAAATAGCAAAAGAATTTTTCAAAAATTAAAAGGAAAAATTTAATTAAAAATACTTGGTTAATCCAAAAGAAGAAAGTGAACAAAACAAAAAAAACAGGTGCTATCAATTAGAAAATAACAGTAAGATGGTGCATATGAACACAATTATCGTCATTCTTCAGTATCCTAGGGGTATTGGTTCCAGGACACAATACCCAAAATCCACGGATATGAAGGCCTGACCATATGTCAGTTACCATATTACTACAATTAAAAGATGAAGTTGTTGGAAAGTGTTTCTTTTTTCCCATTAAATGTAAATTTGAGAAAGTTATGGACAAGCCTCTCCATTTACTGGTATAAAAGTATAAAATGGTATAAAAGCACTTTCTTTCCTTGTAATGTCTTGTTAGTTTTTGGTACTGAAGTTATGCTAGCCTCAAAATTCTGTAGGCACATTATTTCGCTATGTTTAACTCCCACTCCCATTCAAAATACCTAGAGTGGTTACTAGTTCCTACACTAAACCCTTGCTGATCTAGAGAGTTTTATGAAAGTCAAGGAGACTAAAATACTAAAACCAAGAAAATAGTTAAGACAGGTATAAAGAAATGGATAATATAAGAAGAAACGATAACATTTTAAACAGATTTAAAGTTGCAGAAATTTTCTTTTAAATGTAATTTTAAGACCAAAAAAACCCCTAAAAGAGTGCACATGGGAGGGAGACGCAAGAGGGAGGAGATACGGGGATATATGTACATGTATAGCTGATTCACTTTGTAATAAAGCAGAAACACACCATTGTAAAGCAATTGTACTCCCATAAAGATGTTAAAAAATAAAATAAAATTTTAAAAAGTGTACAGAACTGGTATGACAGGCAACCAATGTTTCATTATATAGTCCCTCAGGTAATGCTAATACCATCAGGTTTTGCCTATTCCCTGGTTTCAGATTTACACAGGATTCTCTTCAGCTATTTAGCCTTCTGTTTAAACTAGTGTTAATTCGTTAGAGACAGTAGGCCTTATCACTAAATCACCTTTTATCAATTCTGGAAAATTCTGGCACTCCTTTTCTTCTAGTCTCTCTACTTAGTCCTTCTGCACCTTTTAATTCTCCTCAAAACTTCTCATCCTAACACCTCTATTTCTTAACCAGTCTGTTTCCCCCTTTCCTTACATTGCATTCTGGCCCTCCCTTTAGCAGCGTTTTATCTGCAGCTTAACTTGAATTTTGTTCAAACGCCTTTTTTTTTTCCCATTTAAGTTCCAGTTGGTTCTTTTCGATATGATTCTTTCTTTTGCATCTTCAGTAATTCTAAACATGCTTGTGTGATATGGTTTTTACCTGTTTTGTTCCTGCTGTCTATCATGACTGGTGACTCTGACATGACGAATAACATCACAGTGTTCTGTAATAATTTTGACTTAACAGGCAGAACTTTGTGGGAAACCCACACAACCTGGGTTGAGAACACCTGCCTCCACAGCAGTTCTGCACCTGCTGTTGTCAGGTGCTCCAGGGAATAGTGCCGCCTAGAGACCTTTTTTATGTTAGTTTCTCGATGTATGGACCTCCTGGGAAGGACAAGTAATTCAAAGTAGAGCCTGAAACATCCCTGAATAGTTACAAATTCTTAGAAAAGAGTTTTCCCTTCCCAGAGCCCAATCAGAAACTGAACTTCCCCGTGGAGCCAGTGCATGGATTGTTTAGTCTACCTCTCCAATGCGAGTATCACCCTCTGGAGGAATCAGACTGATGAGGGGTCCCACTCCAACTCCCAGCCTTACAAGGGCCAAAGGCCTCAATTTCTGTCCCCAAATAGGTTGCTAAAACCCACAAATAACAAATGCCCCTAGGACAGGCGCAACAACTCAATGGCCCAATGCTCTGATTTTTATGTCGTTTTCATATTCAGCTGCAGAAATCTCTTACTTTCTTGCAAGTTCAGTTAAACGTTTTTGAAATGTTTTATTTAACTTCCCAGGGGTTTTTAGCAACAGGGTTTTAAGAGTATCTGTTCCACCATATCATCTAAACCCACAATTGTAATACTACAAATAACTATTCCTTTCAATTAGGATGACAATTTGCTATTTTTGACCACCAACTCCTATTCCCCCAAATTGTGCTTCACCTCCTCCATCACAGCCCATATTGGACTAGCAGACTTCAGTGAGGTGGGGAACACGACTCAGGCCTAAATTCATCAGTAGACTCCCCTCCTGGCCCCAGGTGCTGGCGTGGAGGGAACAAGATGAGAGCCAGAGCCAGGTGAGGAGACTCACAGCCAAGGGAGGGGCTGAGCAGCACAGAACCACAATGGTCAGAATGGGACCCACACGGAGAGGACACTGAGGAAGCAGAGCTGAGCACAGGAAGCAGAGAAACTAGACGCCAGTCCCCACCCTTGACGCCGCCAGATCAGCCTTTGACCAAAGCCAGACCAAGCTCCTGATTTTTCAATTCCATGAGCCAATACATTTTCTTCCCTATCTAAGCCACTTGAGCTGGGTTTGTCCATCGAAAGCATTCTTAGTGACACAGAAATTCACCACGTGTTCAAAGTTCAATAATGGAAACAAAATTTTACTTGCTTACCTGGATAACCAATTCCTTTGGCATTTGCATAGGGAACCCCAGAAGAACCCGGGCTATAAACAGGATTCATGATTTCAAGAACTAAAAAGGGAAAAAAAGTGATTTAGCCAAGCACTTTTGTTCTCAGGTTTTTCTCCATCATCAGTCTCAAAAGAACAAGAGTCCTTTCTCTAGTATATTATAAAACAAGGCATTTCATGCTGCTGCCAACCAACAGAGAACAGAAAAGGAACGCCAAAGTCCTAATGGGTGCTCACCAGGACACTACAGGCTTTCCTTTATAACACTCTTCGGTCCACCAGAAGCTAAGGGAAAAAAGTGTTCTCTGTGTCCCTGCTTAAAACTGTGAAAAAATATGTATAAATAATCTAAATGTCCTTATAACAGAGAACAGTCCTAACCAGATCTATCCAGAGCATGAAATAGCATGCAGCTGCTTTTTAAAGTGTTTAAAAATACAGATTGATATCATGGTAATTGGGGAAAAAAACGGTACAATACTGTAATGCAGTATCCTCCCAAATTTGCACCTACACATATGGGCATGTGCACCTCTAGCACAAACAGAAAAAAAGTCTGGGAGGAAATTAAAATATGAACAGTGATTGCCTCTAGATGGGGTGGTTTAGTGTTCGTTTTGCACTTCTATTTCTGAAATAACTTGGGTTAAATATATGTCTATTTCCTAAAAAAAGACAAATTAGCACAGCCCAGCAACTCTATTAACCCATTCTATAATTCCCAACCTTTTTTTTTTTTTTTTTTTTGCGGTACGCGGGCCTCTCACTGTTGTGCCCTCTCCCGTTGTGGAGCACAGGCTCCGGATGCGCAGGCTCAGCGGCCATGGCTCACGGGCCCAGCCGCTCCACGGCATGTGGGATCTTCCCGGACCGGGGCGGGGCACGAACCCGTGTCCCCTGCGTTGGCTGGCAGACTCTCAACCACTGAGCCACCAGGGAAGCCCAATTCCCAACCTTTTTTGCCTGAAAAGTTCAAGAACTTGCACAGCTACAACCATGGTTTTATCCCATCCTCTGAATTTTTTATCACCCAGTGTATTCTTAAAGTGTGAGCTAAATTAAGACTATTCAGTATTCCCTTACGTGGTAGTAAGGACAACGGGGATCTTAAATTTAAAAATAAAAACAGCAATGGGGGGGGGGTGGGATCTTCGGACCGGGGCGGGGCACGAACCCGTGTCCCCTGCGTTGGCTGGCAGACTCTCAACCACTGAGCCACCAGGGAAGCCCAATTCCCAACCTTTTTTGCCTGAAAAGTTCAAGAACTTGCACAGCTACAACCATGGTTTTATCCCATCCTCTGAATTTTTTATCACCCAGTGTATTCTTAAAGTGTGAGCTAAATTAAGACTATTCAGTATTCCCTTACGTGGTAGTAAGGACAACGGGGATCTTAAATTTAAAAATAAAAACAGCAATGGGGGGGGGGAACAGGGATATGGGAACTCTGCACTTTCTGCTCAGTTTTGCTGTGAACCTAAAACTGCTCTTTAAAAAAAGTCTATTTAAAAAGAAAAACAGGAAGTTTCCTGGTGGCATAGTGGTTAGGATTCTGGACTTTCACTACCATGGCTGGGGTTCAATCCCTGTTTGGGGAACTGAGATGCTGCAAGTTGTGTGGCATGGTCAAAAAAAAAAGAAAGAAAAACATAAAATGTACATGTATTTGCTTTAGTGTCTGCCTTCCCCACCACATCTTCAGCTAGAATGTAAATAGGGAACTGGAACTTAGCCCTATTTGCAGTAACTTCAGCCCCAATAACAATGTCTTACACACAAAAAGGTGCAACTACCTGCTGACTTTCTAAAAAACACATGCACCTCAAAACACTCTAGGTATCAAATTCCATTACAAAGGCAAAATGCAAAAACAAACCACTTCATATTTTCAGTTCACCTGACTCAGAATATTTACAACCAAGCAGTTCAGTAGAAACTATACCTGGTCAAGTCCTTAGCCTTTGTAACAAGTTCTAAAGTAGAAATAAATTGGAGATCAGTGATTGATACTGATACTCATTACCTAAGTAATTATCTTATTTCTTTAACTTCCAAACAAAAGGCAGAGATACTTTTTGATGCCATGACATCCAGAACCACAGCTAAGAGAGAAGTCTAGATCAGTGCTGTGCAACAGTACTTTCTACAAGGATGAATATGTTCTCTATCTGTGCTGTCCAATATATCATCCGTTAGCTACAAGTAAACACTGAGCACCTGAAAAATGTGGTTAGAACAGGATCCATTTTTTTAGTTCATTTAACTTCAATCTAAATCTAAATACTCACGTGTGGCTAGAGGCTACCACCCTGGACAACGCAGATCTACAGAACACACTACAAAGAAACACGGATAGGAAGGCATAGGAAGTAGACATGAGAATCAACTGTATTTTACACCACAGTTTAAGAATAAACAAATTGGTGGGCTTCCCTGGTGGCGCAGTGGTTGAGAGTCCGCCTGCCGATGCAGGGGACGCGGG